GTCTGTTATATCGGACAGATTTTGGTTGCCGGCCTGTTATACCGGACACATTTTGGTTGCCGGTCTGTTATACCGGACACATTTTGGTTGCCGGTCTGTTATATCGGACAGATTTTGGTTGCCGGTCTGTTATACCGGACAGATTTTGGTTGCCGGTCTGTTATACCGGACACATTTTGGTTGCCGATCTGTTATACCGGACACATTTTGGTTGCCGGTCTGTTATATCGGACAGATTTTGGTTGCCGGCCTGTTATACCGGACACATTTTGGTTGCCGGTCTGTTATACCGGACACATTTTGGTTGCCGGTCTGTTATACCGGACACATTTTGGTTGCCGGTCTGTTATACCGGACAGATTTTGGTTGCCTGCCTGTTATACCGGACACATTTTGGTTGCCGGCCTGTTATACCGGACACATTTTGGTTGCCGGTCTGTTATATCGGACAGATTTTGGTTGCCGGTCTGTTATACCGGACACATTTTGGTTGCCGACCTGTTATACCGGACACATTTTGGTTGCCGGCCTGTTATACCTGACACATTTTGGTTGCCGGCCTGTTATACCGGACACATTTTGGTTGCCGGCCTGTTATACCGGACACCTTTTCGTTGCCGGCCTGTTATATGGAGACATTTTGGTTGTCGACCTGTTATACCGGACAGATTTTGGTTGCCGGTCTGTTATACCGGACACATTTTGGTTGCCGGTCTGTTATACCGGACACATTTTCGTTGCCGGTCTGTTATACCGGACACATTTTGGTTGCCGGTCTGTTATATCGGACAGATTTTGGTTGCCGGCCTGTTATACCGGACACATTTTGGTTGCCGGTCTGTTATATCGGACAGATTTTGGTTGCCGACCTGTTATACCGGACACATTTTGGTTGCCGGCCTGTTATACCGGACACATTTTGGTTGCCGGCCTGTTATACCTGACACATTTTGGTTGCCGGCCTGTTATACCGGACACATTTTGGTTGCCGGCCTGTTATACCGGACACCTTTTCGTTGCCGGCCTGTTATATGGAGACATTTTCGTTGCCGGCCTGTTATATGGAGACATTTTCGTTGCCGACCTGTTATGAACCGGAAGTGGTACGTACTGTACTTCAGGTCTCTTAAAAGCGGTGCCCTGTCAAAACGGCCCGGGACAAATCGGCCCCGTCAAAACGGCCCCGTTAATACGACCCCGTCAAATCGACTCCCGACAAACCGACCCCGTAAAAATAGCCCCGTCAAAAGGGCCCCGACTTATTGGCTCCCGTCAAATGGGCTCCCGTCATATTGACTTGCGACATATAGGCTCCCGGCAAATGGGCTCACGACATTTTGGCTACTGACAAATGGGCTCCCGACATATTGGCTCCCGACATAAGGGCTCAAGACAAATGGGCTCCCGGCAAATGGGCTCACGACATTTTGGCTACTGACAAATGGGCTCCCGACATATTGGCTCCCGGCAATTGGGCTCCCGACATATTGGCTTTTGACAAAATGACTCCCGACATATTGGCTCCAGAAAAATGAATGATATGACCACTATTGGCATAAAAGTAACCATTGTGTCCTACCTCCAATACCACCATAACCTCTTTTTAATGCCCGAATGAAATTATTTTTTCATGAACCAACATTAATTCACAAAAAATCGAGCCCTTAACAGCTAAATTCCACCAATTCTAAAGTTTTGATAATGTTTAATTTACAACAGAAAAGATCTGTTGCTAAAAAGCGAGCACAGAAGTGTAAATGTATGATATACATGATGTTAACATGATAACAGCATTTTGTTTTGATAACCTACAAGCACAGTGGCGTCGCTAGGTCGGGTCTCACCCGGTGCGCTCTTCGTATTGTCACCCCCTCCCAGGAAACAAAGCATATATATATATATATATATATATATATATATATATATATATATATATATATATATATATATGTGTGTGTGTGTGTGTGTGTTTCGGCCTACATAGGCCTAAAATTTATATATATGCCACATACTGGTACACGTACGTGTTTAAGCTTTAATCACTGCTGACTTAATAATAACGACGTTTATCTACAGTCTGTTTATAATACAGTTGGAGGTAGCATTGTTTTCTTTATAGTTTACGTTTACGTCGTGGTGTCACACCCCCCCCCCTCTTGATATAATTTTCGATTTGTACTTAGAAGACTATTTAACTTTAACTAATGGATCTGGAAAACGGCATTTCATTCTATAAATTTTACAATTTTTTGCCTTTGGTGTCACCCCCCCCCCCCCCCTAAATGGTGTCACCCGTTGCGGTCCGCACCCCTCGCCTCGCCTTCGCTACGCCTCTGCGTTAGGCTACAGAGGAGTTAAACGAAGAGATCAACTTCTACTTACGATGGATGTTTTTTAATATATAAATATTCTGAAGGCAACATTTTGTATTTTATATGTCCTGATTATGTATTTATACTATATTATTATGCTTGCCTACTACTGCTAAAAAGTTTATTTATAGGCTGATTCTCTCAATGTCTTGCACGACAAAGTGATATAGCCTGTAGTGTTATTATAACGATTGGGCTCTGTTTGACCCACAAACACTGAATCCCACTGCCGAAACGGTGGGGGGGGGGGGGCTTTTTGGAACTTTTAACCTTTTTCTTTTTTTAAATTATTTATATGTAACAAATATTAAAATTCCATTGTAAAAGTTTTAATTTTTTATGAGGGAAAAGGGCCCCCATGCCTTGCTTACGCTAGCTTTACGGTAGCTACGCCACTGTGTCAGTGGTCCTTTTGTCTGGAGCCAAATTGACAGGAGCCTTTTTGTCGGGAGCCAAAATGACGCTAGCCTATTTGTCGGGAGTCGTAATGACGGGGGCCGTTTTGTGGAGAAACTAAATGGCAGGAGCCTATTTGTCGGGAGTCGTAATGACGGGGGCTGTTTTGTGGAAAAAACTAAACGACGGGAGACTATATGTCGGGAGCCAAAATGACGGGAGCCTATTTGTCAGGAGCCTTATTGACTGGAGCCCTTTTGTCGGGAGCCTATATAACGGGAGCCTATTTGTCGGTAGCCTAAATGACGGGAGCCTATTTGTCGGGAGCCTATATGACGGGGTCCATATGTCGCTGGCCCTTTTGACGGGGCCGATTTGACGGGGTCGTTTTGACGGGGTCGTTTTGTCGGGGTCGTTTTGACGGGGCCGTTTCGTCATTGGCCGAATTGACGCCGCACGCTTAAAAGCCGATAGCTTAAGTGCCATTAAAGTTAGGTAGACAAAATTTCACACACAAGTATTAATTAGATTGTATGCGCAGGTTTCTTTCAACTTGTGAACGAATTCCGGTAATCGGAAGTGGTACTGTTCTATATTTCCGCAGTGAAACGATACATTGAGAACTGTATCAGTTACGTAGATGAAATTTCATTAAAAAATCTTTTACTTTGATCATTTCAATTTTTGAGTGACTTCCGATATCCGGAAGTGTTACTTTATTTCTATAAATACTGAAAAATGCCAAATAATTTGAGTACTGATTCAGGTAGGTAGACGAAATGTCACACATGGGTATATAATCTTATTCAGTCATTTTTCTGTCAAATTTTGATTGGAATCACTCCCGCTTTTTTTTTTCGCTCATGAGTAATACCAATGACTTGTTTGTGAAATTTCTTTATCCTACCACACCCAAAAGTTGCATTCTCAAAAGTCGTCCCCTCCCCCACTCTGGGTCCCCTGTCGAAACATATTGTACAATAAAGTAGAATAATCAATACACGTATCAGAAAGGTAGGCTTATATATCAGTAATACAATACGAGTTGGTGACAATCACCCATGTATAACGCCCGCACGGAGGAAGGGGGGAGGGAAGGACCAAATTTATGGACGCACGTGGGTGGGTGGTGTCTGGATCACGTTACTGTAAGTCCAAACGGTAACTGTAGCAACAGATACTGAAGAGTTGCAGCAAAGAAACAGATAATCAACCTACGAACAAACAAACAAACAAACAAACAAACAAACAAACAAACAAACAAACAAACAAACAAACAAACAAACAAACAAACAAACAAACAAACAAACAAACAAACAAACAAACAAACAAACAAACAAACAAACAAATAAGCTCTTTTTTAATTTCTATGCCCGTGTTAAAAAAACAACAACAAACAAACACAATCTCAAATGACAATAAAAATTAGTACCTTTGCTTCAAGCGAGTGATCAATAACACAGAAATATTGACCTCGGTGTAATTCTAGGTTATGAACTCAGTGTGAACGTCCGCTTTCTAGTAATGCTGCGTACGACAGGAGAAAATAGATTTAGTGCTTTACACGTTTTTCTGTATGCATAAACATACATTGGATGCGTGTAGGGGAGAGTTGGGGAAGGGGGTGGTTTGAAATTATAAATGTGTGTGTACTTTATTCTTGGATGAGGTGAGTTTTAAAGATTTGAGGGTAGGGGAGAAAGGGGGTAGCAGGGTTGCCCGTTACTAACATGTCCAATAACTACATGCACTCGGTGATACTAACAACTAATAAACACCCAGTACCATCATAAACTACCAATATCATGTTGCCAACAACAACTACCACCCAGCACCAACAACAACTACCACCCAGCACCACCAACAACTACCACCCACCACCACCAACTGTCACCACCCTGCACCACCACCAACTACCACCCAGTACCACCACCAACAACCACCAACTCCTAACAGTTACCAGCCAGCACCCCCCCCCCCACCCCGCCCCCCAACAACCGCTGTCAACAGCACAAGCTGACCCCCGTACCCCCCGCCGTACCCAGACACCCCCGACCATCCCCACCTAACTGGCTCGCTGTCCCAGTCGCAAGTCTCACCTCAAAAAACGTGTGCCACGTGACGTCGCCAAGCCCCGCCTACCCACGTGGTCGGCAGCCGCCCGTGACGTTTGATCTCTCCCCGCTCGTGGCCAATGACAGGGCGCGTGCCTGTTGCATTTCAAACATCGATTTTTCCCGTCCTCAGCTCGCGACCATTTTTACCTGCCTGGCGACGAAAGGTATAAAAGTCCCCTGGGCGGGGACCTGAATGTTTACCTGTGAGCGGCTCGAAGTGACCTCTACGAAACCAGAGTTGCAGAAGTCAATTGAAGCAGTTCCAGACTTTCGCATTTGACCGATATTAAAACTTGCTGTAAGAATCGTCAGGCTTAGGGCTCGAACCATCTGCATCCAAGTCGTCACCACAAGCTGGGACAGGCACCAGGTGTCACTGTGACATCACCCTGTGCTATTAGTTATCCCTGCAACATCCTGTGCTATTAGTTATCGTTGTAACATCCTGTGCTAGTAGTTATCGGTGTAACACCCGCGGTAACATTCGCGAGTACTAAGCAACAGCTTGGCCGGTGATATATCAAATTGACCAGCTGTAACATTGAACAGCCAGCCATCAAAGTTTGAAGTGACCAGCTGTAACATTGAACATCCAGCTATCAAATTTTGTATTGACAGCTTGACCAAACATCGAACAGCTATTTTTAAAGTGACTAACTTTAATCTGAACGAGTTCACAATAAACATTTCAAGGTAAGAATTTTTCTCCAATCTTCGATTTTAATTATAAATTTTAATTATAAATTACACTAAAAGCTTCATACTCTATTTCTTAATGTCAATTTTAATTTAATTAATTAAATTTAAACCCCACTAAGCTATATAGACATGTATTTTCTATTTTACTGTGTACCATTCTCTGATTTTTCAAAGTAAAGAAAACTTTTAAAAATAAATCAAGGTAATTAAAAATATGGATTAAAAAATAAAAAATATCCAGCCTTAATGAGCTCTAAATGTCAACAATTAGACCTTCAGCTCCGTGATCTTTAGTCAGGTGCCTTGGTGTTTAATGACAGCAGTAATGACAACATTAATGACAGCACTAAAACGTCGAGGGGAGTTGAACGAGCGTTCATTTAAAATCCAGCCAAATTAAATTTTACACTAATGATTCGAGGACAGATAAGATTTTGTGAACTGATTATATGAGGGAGTAGGGCAGAGGGGTGGTGTGAGGAGTGACTTGATTTGTTATATATATAACAGTGATGGTCTATGGAAATGTTATATAACGTTATATGGGTAATGGGTGCGTACAATTATAAATTTTCGCATTATACATGTACAGATTATTTTATAGTAAGATTTAAATATCGGTTACAATATAGTGTATCTTATATATTATCTGCATGGTATTTTATAATTAGATTTAAATATATATGTGCATTTTATTTTATAATTAGACTTAAATATCATTACAAAATAGCGGATTTTTCTTCTTGTATTTTGTTTACAAATAAGAGAAAAAAATACCTAAAGACCTACTGCTATATTTTTGACCTGATTTTAGCTGAACACACTGTTTTGACAATATATGTTAATACAACAATATGTTGTTTAAACCATATTAAAGGTTTGTATATTTAAAACCCGAAAAAAAGTTGAATCATTTCACATATTTAAGAACCCCAAATAAACACGAACTCGTGAAATGACTTAGGACGTCTTGTCGACAGTTACTTTCAAAAGCTGTTTTTTTTTTTTTACCTCACCTGGTTAGCTTCGCTAC